CTGTGTTGAGGGAGTACTTGAGTTGAGGCCCAGTGTCCATCTGCAACCTTAATTCTTAACATGTAGATATGAGTACATAGTTCTATTCCCCTCTCATTTATACACACACACACACACACACATACGTATATAATTTACATATGTACATGCCTGCATTTAGGCCTCTATAAATGTCCTTTGCCTCCTGGTTCTTTCCTCTATTTCCTTTTTTACTTCCCTCTTATCCCACCATCATGTTTGGTCTCAATGTGGGTTTAGTAATTCCTTGCTGGTACATTGTCCTTGATTGAGTCCCACTAGGCATCCTACGACCTTGCTTCCATTAACTTACATTCACTTGTTGTTCCCTTGTCCCTGGGTTGGTCCCACTTCCCCTTCCTTTCTCCCACCTCCCTTTCTCCCGTAACCTCCCCTGCCCCCCCAACCATTGGTACCATTCTTTTTATCTCCGAATTATTTATCCCACATATCTTATCTAGATAGACATGCAGATACATTAATAAGTTAAAAAACCAAGCAAAGCCAAATAAAACAACAAAGGAAGTCAAAACTAACAAAACAATAATAGCAAAAAAACAAATACAAAATAACAATAACAAAAAGAAAGCCACTGACAAACATGGAAAAGCCTATAAATAGTTCAAGGTCTGCTTCTTGGCCTTTACAAGTGGTTTCCAGTCAAGTCTGATGGGGTGCCACACTCTGTCTCCAAAGTCTATTTTTGGTATTCCCTGGGGGTTTCATCAGTCTGCTCCCCCTGCTGCTCTGCTGCATGCTCTCAGAGCCTCACCGCAGCGTGATGGGGCCAGACCATACACTATTCCCACACTGTGACTCCAGTGCTGTCCCACCACAGTGTCATGGTTCAGTGCGGGATGCCATGTCCCGTGGTGGGGACAGCCCTAAAGTCCTCCCCATGTGTTATCTGCTCTGAGCAGGAATATCATCCTTGGGGCTTGATGGGCCAGGATGTCCTCCCCTCACTCTCCATCCCTTTGCGTTTCTCCCATGTGCTCTTAATCTGACGTGCCCCTCTCTCCAAGCTGTAGCCCCAGTGCTGTCCTCTGAAGTGCATTCTTCTGAAGGGGGTGGAGGGAGGGGGGTTTGTCCACATAGTTGGGATTTGGGACGGCCTCGCAGACCTCTGTATTGGTTCCCTGATATATGCCAGTATGTTGTAGTCACATCTTGGTGCATGGGGTTGAAGCCTGGTCTCTCTCTCCCTCTCCTGTGGAGATATAAACAGTACCCTCCCCTTGGGTGAATTAGTGCCCTGCTCCCCTCCTACCTATGACTTTTTGGTCACGGGGAAGAGATAAGGCAGTCAGGAAGAGATATACCACCAATGAAACCCACAACTTTCCTCTAGTTCTTTGGTTCTTCCTCCCCCACTATTATGAGCTCAATTCTACCTTACAAATCAGATTAGACCAGAACATGCACACTGCTACAGATAAGAGCCTGCAACACAGGGAATCCCGGATAGATAAAACCCTCAGGGCCAATAAAGAGTAGAGATACCAAGAGGATTAGTAGAGGGTGGGGGGAGAAAGGGGAAATTGATCATAAGGATCAATCTAGAACCCCCTCCCAGGGGGACGAATAACAGAAAAGTGGGTATGGGGTGATGGAGGACAATGTAAAATATGGAAATAATAATCTATAACTTATCAAGGTTTGTGAGGGAGGGTCGGCAGGGGAGGGAGGGGGAAGAAATGGGGAGCCGATATCAGGGGCTCAAATGGGAAGAGAATGATTTGAAAATGATGATGACGGCTACATGCAAATGTGCTTGACACACTGGATGAATGTATGGATTGTGATAAGAAATGTAAGAGCCCCCAGTAAAAGTATTTAAAAAAAACACTATTATTTTGATTGAACCTTTCCCTTGAAGGCACCCTAATAAGGTTAAGTCAAGTGTATTACTGAGAAAAGTTGCCATCTAGTGAAGGCAGAGACATGTTTAATCATGTTTTGTGTAGAATCAACCTGTATATGTATGAACTGAAATCCTAACAGAACTACTTTGTGACTTACTCTCATATGTAACAAAACATGACATTTCAACAATCTTCACATGTACAGTTCAGTGACATTAATTATGCTCATCATGCTGTTCAGCCATCTCCTGATGTGTTTCTAATTTTCCTATCAACCTTTACAGAAGCCAGTGTCCCCTAAACATTGAGACCTCTATCTATCGTCCTTACTACCATCCCCCACAAGTGCCCCAACTATATTTTGCTATAGTTACCTATTCTCAGTATTTCAAAGAACAACCACTAAAATTTGTCAAAGCATACATTTAAAACATTATATAAATAAATCTAAACAAAACTCTAAAATGTCCAAATGACTAACAGGAAGACAAAAAAAAAACATACACAGAAAGATTAAAATATTAACATATTGACAAATTCAATGTACATAATCTAAATACAGCAATTAAAACACAATGATTAAGACAGGTTTAAAAACATGGTCCAATTATATACAGGAAAATCACTTCAAAGAAAAAAAAGAAAGAAAATCACTTCAAATATAAAAATACAAGCATGTTGAAGATAAAAAGACATTAAACATGGATTACGTAAACACTGATTGTAAAAACAGTAGTGGCTGTTTTAGTATCAGATAAGGTAAATTTCAAAGTAAAGAAAATTACCAGAGACCAAGAAGGATAATGATGAATACCCAGCAACCATAAATATGTATGCACAAAACAACACTATTACAAAATATGTGATCAAAACTGACAGAATTATTTGTTTATTCACAATGAAAAGTTGGAGATGGCAACATTCCTCTCCTCTCAGCAACTGACAGAACATCTAGACAGAAAACCAAGGGCACAGAAGAACTCAGCACCCCCATCAGCCCACAGGAGCTGACTGACACGGACTGAGCAGTCACCCAAAGAGCAGGCACATTAATCGTGACACGTGCTCACGGAACAATGTCACACACACTCTGCTGGGACAAAAACAAACCTCAACAGATTTAAGCAGGTTTAAAAGAACTGGAATTAGAAAATGTGTTTTCTGACCAAAATGGAATTAAACTAGAAATTACTAACTGAAAGAAAACAGGAAAATCTTGAAACAATTGAAAACTAAGCAGCCTATTTCTAAATAACTGATGAGTCAAAGAAGCAATCTCAAGGAATATGAAAAGAAAAAATATCACAGTGAACTGAATGAAATCAGCACATCAAAATCAGCAGAGCATAGCTACCACTGCCTATGACGTGAACTTTTACAGCACTAAACACACTCTAAAATTACAATATCCAACAAGATGGAGATAGACAAAAAATGATGGAAATAGGGCAATACAAATGGAGACTTAATGAGTTATTAAAACAAAACTGGTAAGAAAAAGCAGGACGCAAATGGAAGAAAAGAAATTTTTAAAAAAACTGGTGATCTGCTTAGTAAACCTTCACCTAATTCACAATAAGAATTTTTTAAAAGATGACTCAAATCTATCATCTAAGCTCCTATCTCAAAAATTTAAAAATAAAGCCATCGAAATTATATGAAATAATAAAGAGCAAAAATAATTGAAATGAAAAAACAGAAAACAGAGAAACTTAATATAAAAAAGAACTGGCATTTTTAAAAGATCAGTAAGATTAACAAACTTCGACCAAGACTGAGAACGACAGGAGATACTTACAAATCTAGATGTAGATTTAGATGTAGATTGTTATCAAAAGCATGATAACGTGATAAAATGGACATCAAAATTTTAAAATGTCACTGTTCAAAAGTCCCTCTTAAAGAGGATGAAAACTCATGCTGTAGGAGAAAATATTTTCAAACCACATATCTGACAAAGGATTAGTATCTAAAATATATTTTTACGTGCTCAAAACAACAATAAGAGATAAGGCCATCCAATGAGAACATGGGCAAAATACATGAAAGGGTATTTCACTAAAGATGATATAAAATTGGCAAGGAGACACATGAAAAAAGTTAAACATCATTAACCAATAGGGAGATTACAATAAAAACACCAATGAAATATCACTAAACATCTATTAAAATGGCTAAAGGGCAAAAACAGTGACAACAGCAAGTTGCAAGACAAAACTGATGGTGGGAATGATAGTTACCCAGGAAATACTATGTCAAAAAAAAGTTTAAAAAAACTGTCAGCAACTTTAAAAACAAAGCACCAAGTGTATGTTTACAACAGAGCCAGTACATGAAGGCTTATAGCATTTTTCCTTTATAGTAGCCCAAACCAATACACAGCCCAGTTGTCTTTCACCAACAGGTGAACGGTGGTCCACTCATAACAGGAAATACTACTCGGCAACTAGTGATACAAGCCATAACCCAGGTGAAACTCCAGAGAACTATGCTGAGTTAAAAAAAAAGCCATCAAAGTTGCACAGTGCATGATTCTATTCATATAACAATTTTTAAATGACAAATGATAGACATGGAGAATCGATAAGTGGTTGCCAGAGTTTAGGAAGTAGTAGGTGGTAAAGTGCAACAGCGAAGTGGGTATGACTATAAAGTGAGGGATCCCTGTGGTGGTGGGAATATTCCACAACTTGACGGGATCAATGTCAATACCCTAGTTGTGATTGTGTTAAATTTCTGAAAATGTTGCCTTAGGGTAAACTGAAAATGGCATGTGAGGGTCTCTATATTATTTCTTAAATCTGGATGTGAATTTACAATTACCTCAAAATAAGAAGTTTAATTTTAAAAACAGAATGAAGGAAAAACCAATAATAGGATCAGAGGGACAATTTCATTTAATATAAAGCAACAGTGAACATTATTAAACATTACTTCATAATTTCGTAGCTTGGAACAAGGAAACATATCCCTTGACTGCTATCTTACCACAACCCTTCTCTAAGGATTCACTTCTAAGAGCTAAGAAGGTCAGCTCACCTTCCACGCTGTCAGAACAAGAAGTCCCAATGCCAGTATCTCCACTGTCCGAAGTTATGCTGTGTCTTCTGGTATGGTTATTTCGATGGTTTGATGGAACAGTCGAGGCCTGCCACAATGATTCATTACCAGGAAGCCATGCTGATGAAGCGTATTCTGGGCCTACAAAGAAAAATATACAACACTTAACACACACATAATGTCTACGAGTAGGGAGGGGGCATGGGCGGTCTGGTGGCAGAATTCTTCCCTTCCAGTTCAATTCCCAGTCAGTGCCTCTCAGGTGCTGCCATCTTTCTGTCCATGGATGGCTATGTGCTCCTATTGCTATTTGGAAAGCAAATTTGTCCAATATCCAAAACACTTTAGCACTATATAATACTCATCACTATGTGGTTCATACTCATCCCATTAACCCCACACCCACAAAAATAATCCAACATTTCAGTAAATGGAGTACCAGAGAAAAGACTGGTCTTTAAGCATTGTTTCTAATAAGAAATAATTAAAAATAAAGCCCCAGAAAGCAAAGTAAACAGAACTGTTAATGAAGGGAATTCTCCAAATATTTAAGATGCTTTACCATTGCCATTCTAAAAAATAGGATATATAATGTAGTAACTAGGAATTTCACAAATAACCTCAGATTTCATAATGTCTAGGAATTCTCTGACCTCTTTTTGGCCTGTCTCTAGCTATTTGTCTTCTTTCTTTACTGTAGAAATATTCCATTGCAGGCAACAACCATGTATCCAGTTCCTTCCTCAGTGCTGCACTGAACATACAGTAAAGATTCAAATAAACGGAAAAATGTACTGAGCAATTGGAAAGAGATACAACACACTACTATGAGCAATTTTCTTCAGATGGTAAGATTGCTGGAGATTTCTTTTACCTCCATACTTTTTATTCTGTTTAATTTTCCATGAACATTGATAATGAAGAAAAAAAGCTTGTTTCAGAAAATGTTTAACCCCTACTTTAATAAACCCAATACATAACCTGTGCTAAATATTACATAATATGCATTATATAAATAAACATAAATATAATAAACACAATAAATAACTTGTGCTAAATAAATATTATCATCCTTGGAGAAATGTTTTCCTGGGGTGGGAACACAACCTTATTTGGCCTAGTACAGAACAAGATGGATGCATTTTAACCTATACATTAAACTAATAACATAACTTTATACAAAAATATCCAAAAACTCACAAAATAAATCTGATCTATAAACAAATTTTTTTTTTAAAAATGAGAAGTCACATTTTCATTGAAATATAACTTATTATTATTACATTTAAAAAACTGCCATATAGTTGATTCTGACTTTTAGTGATCCTATATAGGTTTTCAAGGCTATATGTGTCTCCCATGGAGATGTTGACAGCAAAGGCTGACCATTTGAACATACCTAGTGAGTCTGCCAGAAAAAACACCGGTGATCTGCTTCCATAAAGATTACAGCCTAAAAAACCCCGATGAGGCCATTTCATTCTCTCACTTGGGGCTGTTAAGGGTCAGCATCAACTCGGTGGCACACAAAACAACAGATTAGCAATAACAATACTATAATTCAATAGTCACAATTTAATTCAATCCCCTGGAAGCAATAACATAAGAAAACTTCTTGAGGCTATAGCAATGAAGCATGACTACTCACATACTTTTACACAAGGCTAGAGTGATCCTTTTCCTAGGAAAGGATCCTCATCAAAAGAACACAGAAGGAATGAAACTATAAAGTCCAACCACATCAGACAAATCACTAGATCAATCAACAAGAAAGCAGATGTTCCATTCAGACTCATCTTTCTAAACCAGTGGGATATTGTGATTTGCTTGTGGGTATCACTATGATCCTACTGTTACTAAACTTAACTGCTCATGCAATCACACCTTCCTAAAGAGATACAATATAAAGTATGGCCTAGAATGCTAAAAATGATCAACAAAGGTCATGAATAAAATAATATTCTAATCTTAAATTTGGAGTGAATTTGTAGTCTGAGAAGAATGGCATGTTCTGTCTCTAGATCAATCTAGACTGACAAAGCAGGAAGTAGACATGAAATATAGTTAACATGAACTAATAAGGAAAATGCTACTGTAATAGGAACTACTCAATTGATATATATATATTATGTTGAATACTTTTTTTAAAGTACTTAAAATAAGGCTCGTATCTTGGGCAACAAAGTATGAGCCAGGTCCACACATATTAAAAACAAATGACTAGAAACCAGTTCTTTCTGGGGCCAAGAGAGAAGCAGCACCGTAGGAACATCAGAGGTCCCGAGACATGGTATGCTGGATCTTCTTTTTGGAATAAATTGTTACATGCTTCAATTCCAGATTGAATTCCTTTATAGAGAATATATAAAGAATTACATACTCAATATATAGAGAATATCTATATATTCAATATGCATAGAATATATATCCTATATAGAATATTTGAATTCCTTTACATAGAATTTATATAGAATACTAAATGCCTTGGAGGGCCACATAAAAAAATTACTAACAAATTGGAGGGGAAATACAAACAACACCATTGACAAAACACATTTACACTTTTATATTAGAAGGTGTAAACATAATACAGATTCTGAACATGAATTTTTCAAAATGCACTTTGTAACCTATTAGTAGGTCTGAAAAGTAACTTGACTGAAACCAGTCATTTTTTTAATGAAACAACCCAAAATAAAAAATAAAGGGGCTTTTATGATATCAGATATACATATTTCAGTTTACTAGCTCTGAAAGATTAAAAGTACAAAGCATTTTGTGAACAAAGTATAGACAGTGGTTTTCAACTGCCCCCATTTTACCTATCAATAAAACCAATGTCAACTAAATTATAAAGGAATAAAGCCAGGAAATAGCATACACACACACAAACACACTCCTTTCCTTAAGTCTTACATATCATCAGTTTCTGAAATTCTTTATTCAATTTCAGAAGTCTTAATTAGGTGTCCCCTCTCCAGCCCAATGTTCACAGATCCTATATCTTTGTCGACCGCTGCAGCAGTCTGCTGGAAACTAGTCTCCTGCTGGAATGCCATCTAAGCCCTGGTTTCTCTTCCCTATTTCACAAATTACTGTCCAAAAGTCTGTAAACACTTTATTGCAGATTAAATAATACTCAAACGTTTTAATTTAGGAGAGTTTACTTCACCAATTGGCAGCTTCACTCTCTAACACTTTGCAACCCTTACCGCCTCCCCATCATGTCTCCCCCTCTTCCCACCAGACTTACCTGATCAGAGCTTCCACACAGGCATTTTCAGGGCCCCAGTCTCCCCTTCCACACCTCCTTATAAAATGCCAGTTCAGACTTAACCTGCTCTAGAAGTCTATCCTGACTCTTTTAAATAGCATTACATAACTACTACTTTGTGTGCGTCCAGTATAGTATTTCAAATTCCTTCACATTTACTAAATTATATTCACCTATAATGACTGTGTTCTCCCTCACCAAATTGTACACGTCAGTGAAAAAAGGTAATTTTTTTTTTCTTCAGCATACAGCATCACAGTTAAGTAGGATCCCAATAAAAGTAGTCATTATTATCACTGGACACTCAATAAACATTCATATAAAATTAGAATCTTGGGAGCCTTATAATTAGGGTTACAAATTAAAGCAATGGTATTTTAGGTGATGGTTGTCAGTTTGTTTGTTTTTTTAAACTAACATTTTAAGAGTTACATTGCACTAAATTTCTGTTTAAAGTATTGTCAAAGCAGCCCCGCAAAAAAAGAAGTCATTTATAAATCCAAATGGTTGGTGGCCAAAATGCTAAAAATGTTTCACTACCTTCAGTAATGTTAAAAGTCCAAAAAGTCACTGAAAAAATAAATAAAACACCAACTCGCACAGTATAAAAGAATGTTCACATTACTAGTTGCCAGCTAAAACAACATCTAAAACAAAGTACCTTCCTTCCCCAAAGGGGAAAAGATGATATACTGAGGGTTATCAATTTCATTGTTTCACTCAAAAATATGCACTGCAGGCCACATGGAAGAAGCACACCAACCAGTGTAATCATGAGGTGTCGTTGGGATCAGGTAGCAAGTATCAAAAGATACAAAACAAACAATTATAGGGTGGAGATGCTAAGTCCACCTGTAGGCAATTGGTCATCTCCTCACAGAAGGGTCACACAGAAGGTACAATTCAGCCAGGTTGCAATATAGCACCAATGAAACACACAACATTCCTTTAGTTCTTGAATACTTCCTCCCCCTACTACCATGACCTCAGTTCTAGCTTACAAATCTGTCTAGACCAAAGTAAGTATAGATAAGAGCTCTCAACACAGGGAATCCAGGACAGATAAACCCTTCAGGAACAGCAGTAGGAATAGCAACACCATGAAGGGGTTGGTTCAGAAAGGGAGAAACTATCACAATGATGGATATATAACCACCACCACCCATGAGGGACGAATAGCAGAAATGTGAGCAAAGAGTGGGGGCAGATGGTGTAAGATATGAAAATAACAATAATAATAATAAATTGATAAAGGATTTACAAGGGTGGGAGAGAGGCAGAAGGATGGGGGGGAAAGAGAAGCCGATATCAAAGGCTCAAATAGAAACAAAATGTTTCAAAATTATGCTGGCAACATATGTAAAAGTGTGCTTGATACAACTGATTTATGGATTGTTATAATATCTGTAAGAGCTCCCAATAAAATGATTAATAAAAATAAAAAGTATATATGCATTGAAGTTATAATCTCATTTAGAAATAAATTGTCAGTGGTATGTTAATGAGGCAGGATTAGTAGGGTGTATTTTGAGTCAACCTCTTTTGAGATATGAGAGATTAAACAAGGAAGCAGAGATGCCAAGGCACCCGAGGCTTGCCTACGAACAGAAGCTCAAAACAGACAAGAACCTTCTTCTGGAACTGACAGAAAAAACCTTCTACCACAGCAGGTGCTCTGAAACTGGACTTCTAGTTCCTGAACTATGAGAAAAATAATGAACAGACTAGCCATCTGTGGTGTTTCTGTGACAGCAGCACTAGACAGATAAGACACTTAGCAATTATAATAATGTCAGAAAGTCACACTCATATTACCTTTTAGAAAACTCCTAGGCAAAACACATGGTAAGATTTCAAAATACTTCACCTGCTCTGGCCCTCTGGAAATTACTTAAACAAGTATGCCAAATACAAAAAAAATTACAAAGATGTTCCGAATAGTGTTTTAATACTAAAAAGGCAGATATAACTCTTTCTTGCTAGACATAGGAACCCTAGTGGCACAGTGGCAGGTAACCACCAGCCTCTCTGAAAGAGAACGATGAGGCTTTCTACTTCAGTAAAGAGTCACAATCTGGAAATCCACAGTGGTAGTAGTTCTACCCTGTCTTAGCGGGTCACGATGACTCAGAACCGACTCAATGGCAGTGAGTTGAGCTCATGCTAGGCCTTAATAATCAATGTAATATATAATTAAATGTAATTTTAAAAATTCTTTTGAACAATATGATTTACAGGGAAAAGTACCTGACATAATAATAAGGTCAAATGCAGATTACAAAGTTATGGTTAGAATAATATTTAATAAAATATACAAAGGTTTAAGAAAAAGGTCAAAAATGATCATTGCTGTGATAATAGGGTGGAGACTACAGAATATCTAAGATTCTCTAGCTTTCAGAAGAATTTGTTATAACTAAAATATTAAATATACTTT